AATTAATTACATCAAATAATTGTATTAATTGCATTAAGAATCTACAAATTTCAGTAACATATATACTATAGACCTATAGGTCTTGTTCTAAATTACGTTTTATGTTTTTTTTACATAGTTTATATATTGATTTATTTGTTATTTTATTATTGTTTATGAAACTATTGATTCTTATATTTAGATTCTTGCTATTTTCTTTATATATTAATAGTTTATACCTATAATGTATATATAAGAATTTTAATAATTTGATTTGATTTGATTCTTGATTTTCAGATTTATATTAAATTTAATATATGAATTATAATCCATTATTATTTTTAATACTGTTTTAAATCTTATACAAGTCTATATAAGTCTGTTCAATTTTAATTTTTGGAATCTTATATATATTTAATCAAATTTTTTGTCTTTTTTTATTAATTTATCTATACACTTATTGTATTTGTTTTTTGTATATACTTTAATTTTTTAAGTTTAATTGCTACTGTTTAAGGATTCTAATAATTCGATTTGATTTAAATTTAAAATAAAATTAGAATCAAATCAAATTGAATCAAATTAATTTGATTCGATTCTATTAGATTTGATTTGATTCAATTTAATTCAATTTAATTTAATTTAATTTAATTTAATTTTATTTTATTTTATTTTATTTCTCTTGATATAATTTTATTTAATACAATTTAATTTAATTTAATTGGTTTTATTTAATTTAATTCTATTCTATTTAATTAATTTTAATTAATTTTTTAAATTTTTATATATTAATATACAGTATAATATCTTTATTTATAAAAAATAATAAAAATAAAAACTATTAGTAAAAAAATACTTAAAATTAGATTTGAATTAAAAATTATATATTAAAGTTTTTAAGATATATAAAATTAAACAATTATAAGATTATTTAATAAAAGTTTAATAAATTTAAAAATTTAATTTTATAATTTTAAGAAATTAAAGATATTTTATATAATATATAATTTTAATATAATAATTTAATATATAATAATTATTAATTATAATAATGTTATAGATTATAAAAAAAATATTTTTTTTATTAAAATAATCAAATATATTAAAATAAATAAAAATAAATAAAAAAAGATAAATTGAAAAAACAAAAGAATTAATATAAAAAATATAGAAGATATAATAGTATATAACAATAAATTAATAACCTGTGGGTCTATAGTATAATGGTTAACACTTCACAGATCAAATCACAAGATACCAGTTTAACTTCATGTAAGAACAGTTAAATAGAATTAATATGGTATTTGGTATCATAACTTGTCAAAAGTGCTGTTTCTCATGAAAAGCCATTTCATATACTGATCCAGTAGGTGTTGAGATTGTGATTTCCAGAAAAGGTGTCATGATATAACAATCTTTCAGTTGGTATTATGATGATCGCTGGAAGTTGCAAGGTATATGAGGTGTCCATTTTCGACAAGCAGGTTTGGTGATCGCCCCCTAATATCTGGTGTCTTTTTGCAGATCCTTGTCCTAGTCTCATCCCAATCCAGTAATAAACTGATCTAGTGATGCTTATTTCAAGAAGACATCTGGCAATAAGTCCCGTTCTGTGCAAGAGTACTATAAGTCGCTGTTCAGGTAATAAGAATCAGTTATAAGTCTACCTTAAATGTTCTTAAGTATCATTTAGGCAGGTAAGAAATTAAATAGTTAGTCCAACTACAAGTGGTAGTAAAGGGAATTTATCCTTGATGGAGCAAGCCGATGTTATGTAGCTTTATTCACTATATAAAAGAATATTACCCCCAGTATACTCCTTCCTTTTTTCTTAATTCTTTTCTAATAAATAAAGCAGTTAATAAAATTTACCAGTGACTTGATAAAACAAGCAGGACTTTGGCACATTTGTATTAACCTCTATCCATTAGGAAAAATTGATAGCAATAATCGATATATGAAGAGATCTCCATATAGTTTAACATATATAAAGATAAATTAATGTTATAGCATAGTTCTATATAGTAATATGTATAAATATATGTAAATATTAACTTTAATAAAGTTTGCTAAGCAAGGTCTATGCTAGTATTTAATAATAATAATAATAATAATAATAATATAACAATAAATTAATAATAGAAAAATATTTTAAAGATAAATATTAATAAAACAAATATAAATTAATAAAACAAAAATTACTTGTAATAATATTATATTATTTAAAATTTAAAATTTAATATATCAAAAAAAAAAAACTCTTTCCTGTTTACTCAGATTCATCTAAAATTTGCAATAAACAGTTGAGAGTTAATTCAAAAGGCCTACCCACCATAGCAGTATACAATCCCAACAGCTCCAGAAATGCAAATCTGCCTGTTTCCAACCACTTGCTATACTAGGCATTCAAAATGTAACAGAAACAAAAAGAAAAACAATGGTCAATCACACTCGAAGTGGGCAGAAGCAAGGTATCTGACTGGCTAAAAACCTCAGAAAAAGGAGTAGATGTTGCCTTCACTTGGACAAAAGACATCCGCATGGATACGGAAGAGCCCCAACAGGCATATATCCTACCAATTTTTGGCAAGTCAGATGAAAAAATAACACCTATGGTATCAAATATTATATTAATTTATTTAATTATTTTTATTTAAAGTTGAATTGATATTTTATAATCTGATCTATAAAACACTAACTATTGTATTATAGACTCACAGATCTATTATTTTACTTAATATTAGATTATATAATATTATTTTTATATTGATTTATTATTATAGATTCAATTTCAAAAATATTAAATTAAAACTAATATATCAAAATGTTATTAATATTGCTATTATATCTTTTAGTTTTATTTTTAATTAAAAATATATTAAGAAAAAATTAAATAAGAGAACTAAAGATAATATTTATATTTGATAAATAAAATTTTATAAAAAAATTTTTTGTATTTTATTATTTAAAAATAAATATATTATTTAATTATTATTTTTTTTAAAACTATTTAAAACTATTTAAGAAACTTATAGACTTATTATCTATAAATTGTTTCAGTTATCAATATTTATTGTTGTTTTAATTATCTTTTCAAAATAAATAGCTGTTGAAGTAATTATTATTAAATTGAAATAAGATCTTTCTGATAATTTGTAAAAAGAAATATTAGATATTATAAGAAAACAAATTATTAAATTATCTTGCTTAAAATCAGATCTTTTATATATTTTATAACTTATTAACAATTATTATAACATCAACTAGATAATTATTGCATATAAGACTTTAAAAAGTATTGAACTGGTATTAAACTGATACTGATCTATAGTAAATTTAATATATGGATTGTGATCCACTCATATGAATTTATAGTAAATTTAAGTATCAAACTAGTATTGAAATAATATCAAAGTGATATTGTTAGGAGCCCTAATTGCATCACAATACTTTTTTTGAAAATTACAATCTCAATATTTACTGGATTAGTATATACTGTAAATCAACTTCTTATAAGAAACAGTACTTAATAGGTCATGGCATCAAATATCATATTAATTTTATTTAATTATTTTCACCTGAAGTTGAACTGGTATCTTGTAATCTAGATTTAAAAGCACTAATCACTGTGCTATTGACCCACAGGTCAAATTATGTTGTTTTAATATTTATTTTAGGTAAAATTTAATTCAAGTTATATTTTTTTCTTTTAGAATAGTTTGTTAATATTTACTTTTTAGTAAGCATACTTTGGTTGACTCAACAAATTTACAGTATCTACTCTCTAAATTCTAAACATAATTATTGATTAAAATTTTCGGATTTTTAATGATTATTCTAAAAATTTGCCATAGCAAAGCAAAGTCTAAAATAAAGGTCACGTGTGGATTCTGTTCGTCCGCACATATAACACATGATTAAATAAAAATTAAATATGCAGTATATAATAAAATTAAAATAATAAACTTATAATGGCATCCATAATTTCATTTATCGAGAGTTGACCAGTATAGAAATATGCCCAATCTTTTTTTTATTGAGAATGTTTATTATAGTATACTATAGATAAGGTCTATATTGTACATTATATTAAGGTATATTAAATTGCGATTTTGCGATATTGACATTTTTATATTTGCAACACTTCTAACTTTTTAATTCCAAAATTTAACAGTAAGTCGTAATTAATATTTGCAACAAGCAATATAAATATTGCAAAATAATATAGATATATAATTTTCTATTCAGCAATCCCTATATCATCCACGGGCCCATAATAACACTTCCCTTCCTTAAAGCCCCATGCTTCATAGAACCAGTTCTTGTAGGTATTCTGCAAAGTTTGATTCCAGATCTGTTCTTTTTTCCAGCAGTCTGGAATAATATCCTTCTTTGTAACCAGGCCTTTGGCGGTTGAATTCCGAATTACTCTGAGCATTGGCAATCCTCCTTCGTATTCGACATACGTATACTTCATAGCATTACACTTCTCGAGGCCCTTTAACTGATGGATCAGGATGGTCTCACTAGGGTCGAGGTCCAGATCCTTGTCAAAATCATGGAAGGGAGATTGGCGCATGGCCTTCCAAGTTGTTGTAAAGCCGACGTAATGCACAAAGTACTTCTTCTCTTTAGCCACATGACATATCCAATCACCCACTAGCCGATCCTCATAACCTTTGATATTTGAACTAACCCAATTTGAACCAACAATGTCTATAACGAGGTCGCTAGAGAGTGTGTATCCCGCAGCTTATATCGAGTTAAGAAAATAGATCAAAAAGTGTGCATGAAGCGTTGATGATAAAAATGAAATAAACAACATACCTCCCATGTACGAGAATGAACGATCATCATCTGGACCTTGGCCATAGTACACAGCGCCATAGTATGCACGTTTTCTCGGTAAGT